CCTTTTGGTTTTTTTTTTTTTTTTTTTTTTAAGAATAAACAACATCTGTTAAATACAAAAGCTTTATATTAATCATTAGACAACATATTAGTGAGTCACATTTGATATTTAACAGGAAAAAAATAGTAAAATTTAATATTATTGCCTAATAGCATGAGCCAATCCTCATTACTTTTTAATTATTTTTCGATCTGCTTACAATTTGAAAACTAAAGCAAATCCATATATATCACAGTGTTTCGTCAAATATGACACTTGCAACTTTCATTTATACATTATTTCAAGAACAAATAATACTTTCTACACGATTTAAATGTTATCACTATTTTTTTAACTTCATGTCATTTTAAATTAATACACTAAAATAAAATAACGAATTATCGATTTCGTTTTGATATTTTTAGCATTTAGGTGCCAGTCAATTGGAAATAGACGTTTTTTTAAAAGTTATATGTGTGTGTTAGTCAAATTTTTTTGGTGATATAGTTTTCGGCACTTCTTTTGCAAAGCCCTTAAAGTATGCTCCATAATCATCTCAGGGAACAATACATATAGTTTTACCATGATCCACATTATTTTTTTGCATTTAGGGACCACTCAACATGAATTAGATAAGTTTCTCAATTTTTCTTGTGCATCAATGAATTTTTTGGCGATATGATTTTCTGGCATTTTTTTCAAAACCTTCACAAGACCCTCCGTAATGACCAAGGGGAAAATATGTATAGTCTCACCATTATTCAATCATTCTTTTAGCATTTAGATGTCACTCAAAAGGAATTAAGCGATTTTCTGAATTTTTCGTGCATGCTAGTCAATAATTTTTTTGGTGATAAGGTTTTTGAACTCTTTTTTTTTTCAAAATCTTTACAGGACCCTTCGTAATATTCTCGGGGGACAAAATGTATATCCTCACCATGATCCACATCATTTTTTAGCATTTAGAGATCACTCAACAAGAATTAGGCAATTTTCTTAATTTTTCAGGAGTGTTACTCAAATAATTTGTCGGTGATAAGATTTTCGATTATTTTTTTTCAAATCTTTACACAACCCTCAATAATGACCTAATGGAGCAGTACGTATAGCCTCACCATGATCCACACCATTATTTTAGCATTTAAGGGTCACTCAATAGAAATTATGCGATTTTCCAAGTTTTTTGTGTATGTTAGTCAATAATTTTTTTGGTGATATGGTTTTTGGGCACTTTTTTTTCTCGAAACCTTTACATGATCCTCCATAATGACCTGGTGGAACAATACATGTAGCTTCACCATGATCCACACTATTTTTTAGTATTTAGGGGGCCATTCAACAAGAATCAGATAATTTTCTCAGTTTTTCGTATGTGTTAGTCAATGAATTTTTTGATGATATAATTTTCGAAACCTTTTTCCAAAACCTTTATAGAACGCACCGTAATGACTTGGGGTAATAGTGTGTATACCCTCACCATGATCCACACGTGTTATTTAGCATTTAGGGTCCACTTAACAAGAATTAGTCAATTTTCAAAGTTTTTCATGTGCTTTAGTAAATGATTTTCTTGATTATATGGTATTCGGGCCATTTTTTTCAAAAATCTTTACTTGACCCTCCATAAAGACCTTGGGGTACAATACCTATAACCTCATCATCATCCACACTAGTTTTTACCATTTAGGATCCACTTAACATAATTAAGTGATTTTTTTAGCTTTTTTCTATGTGTTAATCAAAGAATTTATTGAGAAATGGTTGTCGGGAACTTTTTTTTCAAAACCTTTACAAGACCTCGGTAATGACTTGAGGAACTATAGGTATAGTTTCACCATGATCCATGCCATTGTTTTAGTCACTCAATAGGAATAAGATGATTTTCTCTATTTTCGTGTGTTAGTCAATGAATTTTGTGGTCATAAGATTTTCGGACACTTTTTTTCAAAACATTTACTGTACCCTCTATAATGACTTGGGAGAACAGTACGTATACTCTCACCCTGATTCACACAATTATTTTAGCATTTAGGGGTCACTCAACAAGAATTAGTTAATTTTCTCAATTTTTCGTGTGTTAGACAATTAATTTTTTGGTAATATGATTTTTGGGTACTTCTTTTCTAAAATCTTTTCAATACCCTCTATAATGTTCTTGGGGAACAATATGTATAGACTCACAATGATTCACACCATTTTTTAGCAATTAGGGGCCACTCAACATAAATTAGACAATTTTCTCAATTTTTGGTGTATGTTAGTCAATGAATTTTTTGGTGTTATGATTTTAAGTCGCTTTGTTTTCAAAACTTTCACAAGACTAGACTCTCTGTAATGGCATGTGAAAATAGTACATATAATCTCACCATGATCCACCATTCTTTTAGCATTTAGAAACTACTCAACATGAATTAGGCAATTTTCTCACTTTTCTGTAAGTGTTAGTCAATAATTTTTTTGGTGATATGGTATTCTAGCATTTTTTTTTTCAAAAACTTTTACAGGATATTCCATAAAGACCTAGAGAACAATACCTATAGCCTCACCATGAATCTATAACATATTTTATAGTATTTACGGCCAATTCAACTCAAATCAGACGATTTTCTCAGTTTTTATATGTTTAGTCTATGAATTTTTTGATAATATGATTTTTGAAATTTGGTTTCCAAAACCTTTACAGGATCCCTTTTAATGACACGAAAGAACAATATTTATAGTTTCACCATGATCCATGTCATTTTCTTTAGCATTTTGGGGCCACTTAACATGCACTATGCAATTTTCTTAGTTTTTCGTGTTTATGCATTAATTTTTTGGTATACAATATTGGATACTTTTTTTTTCAAAATCTTTATAGGACCCTCCGTAATAACCTGGAGGACGAGTAGTACATATACACTCACCATGATCTACATCATTGTTTTTAGCATTTAGGGGTCACTCCACAGGAATTAAACGATTTTCTCTATTTTTCGTGTGTGTTAGTCAATTTTGGTGATATGGTTTTCGCGCATTTTTTTTACAAAACCTTTAGAGGACCCTCCGTAATAACTCGGGGAAATAGTATGTATATTCTCACCATGATCCAGGCCATTTTTTAGAATTTAGGGCTACTAAAAAAGAATTGTGCGATTTTCTCAATTTTGTGTGTGTGTTAGCCAATGAATTTTTCGGAGATATGGTTTTCAAACACTTTTTCAAAAACCTTTATAGTAACATCCGTAATGACCTGGGGAACAATACGTATAGACTCATAATGATCGACATAATTTTTTTAGCATTTAGGGGCCACTCAACATAAATTAGACAATTTTCTTTGTTTTTTGTGTTTGTTAGTCAATGAATTTTTTTGTGAAATGATTTTTGGGTACTTTTTTTTTCCAAACCTAAGTAGGACCCTCCGTAATGACTTAGGGGAACAGTACGTCACCATAATCCACAACATTTTTTTTAGCATTTAGGGGCCACCCATCAAGAATTAGACAATTTTCTTAGATTTTTGTGTGTGTTAGTCAATCAACTTTTTGGTGATATAGTTTCGGGTAATTTTTTCCCCAAAACCTTTAGAAGACCCTCCATAATGACTTCGGGGAACAATACGTATATCATCACCATGATCCACACTATTATTTTAGCATATAAGGGCCACTCGAGAGAAATTAAGTGATTTTCTCAATTTTTTGTGTGAGTTGGTCAATGTTTTACCTTTGACGCATATGACTTGGGTGTATTTCACACATTTTTTCTAGTAGAATTTGGGTATTTATTTGTTCATGCTTTGAATAGCTAAAGTGCTTACTTGTGCACTAAGAAAGTCAAAAGTCATAGTTGCCAGAAGAAGCCAAATTAAAGGTCATATTTATATATTATTCCTTTTAAATGACTTGCCTATGTATGCAATATGTCAAATATAATTAATCATTAGTGCAATTTAATTTATTATTAACAATTAACTATTATTTATTATTAAGTCTATTTAATAAAAAATCTTAATTATAATCGCATCTAAATAACTTGCTTTTGTGCCAGATTCATTAAATCAAGTTGTAGTTGACTTGAAAAATTCAAAATATGATTAATCACAGTAATCTAATCTTACTTATGTATCATAGAAATGTGAAACCAAACTTTACTATGTAAATAATTTATTGCGGTCATATACCTTCCAAATTTTATACCAAATCCTCCCTATAAATATCTATATATCCAATTTTTCTTAGCATTGTAAAAATTGATCAAACACATTTTTCACAAATGGCAGCACCAACATCCTGGCAAACCGCTCAAAACACTTGACAACCTTCTTGATCTGCCACAGGCTATGCAGATCTATGGCGTGGGCGAGTAGATGTTATGTATTTCTACTAAGGGACGAGTAGAAATACGATACATTTACTCCGCCCCGTTCATAGACTTCCAGAATCAGTGGCTTATCAATAAGGTTGTCACGTTTTTTGAGCAGTTCGTCAGGATAGGATACTAGTGTTATCATTCATTTTAAGCATGTTTTTTTGGATGTTGGTTATGGTCTAATTTGTAGCAATAAATAGGTAGCATGTTGAATTAGGGATGTTACCGAAGAGAACAACCCTAAAAATTTCAAATGGGCATATGTTCAAATGTTGCTTATTAAAGATTATGCATTTGTTTAGAGATGGTGAATTGAGCAATTGTGATGAAATTGGATTGTATTAAGATTCTATTTTATTTTATTTTTTTGAAATTTCACTAGATAAGGTGTACATAGGGGGCTAGATTTTTATTAATAAATAAAAAGGGTAGCTCAAAGAGAAAAGTACAAGTAAGGGAGTTAGGTTTTACCTTACTAATCCTAATGACTTTTTAAAGAGATAAAATTTATTATAATTATATTTTAAAGGGTCTTGTTTGGTGAAATGTCGTAATGTGCCTTGTAAGTAAATTGAAAGGTTGTTATAATTATATATTTGAAATTAAGAAGAGTGTTATTTAACAATCTTAAATTTACTTATTCTTTTAGAATATCATGTTTGATGTCACTCCATCATTTATTTTGTGTTTTAATTTAATATGACATGAAGTTTAAAAAATAATGATAACTTTTGAATCGTGTATGAAGAGGTATATCAGAGGAATTTGCATGTATTGTGGAAATTCCATTTTCTCTATGATTAATACAAACGGTGTAAAAATGAAAGTTTGCAAGTGTTATTTAATAGGTCATCACCAAGAGACCCATAAAATTTGAGTTCAAATCGAGTCTATCGTACATATCTTGAAAAATTCATGGATAACACACAAAAAATCGAGATAGTCTTGAATCCTTGTTTCATAATACATAAACTCATAAAAAAGTGATGTCCACCTTATGAAAATAATGAGTATCATTTAAAAGATCTTCACCAATAACCTAGAGAAATCAACTCACACAAAATCGATCGTATGTATTTTAAACAATTCAAGGACTAATATACATTGAGATATTCCTAAAGTCTTATTTCATGACACATAAACTCCACAAAAAAGAGTGATGTCCACTTTCCAGAATAATGTGTATCATTCAATAGGTCTTACCAATGGACCCACAAAATTTAAGCTCAAACACATTAAGTCATACTTATCCCAAAAATAATTATGGACTAATACATATAAAAAATTGAGATAATCCTAAATTCCTGTTTCGTGATACATAAACTTCAAAAGATTCAATATCCGCATTTGGAAAACAATGAGTATCATTTAATAGGTTGTCACCATTAATGGACCCACAAAATTTGAGCTGAAATAAAACAGTTTACACATATTCTTGAAAATTTATGGACTAATACACACGGAAAAAACATACTCCTCAATTCATGTTTTGTGACACATTAACTCCAAAATAAAAAAATATAAAAAATACGTTAAAAAATAATGAATATAATTTAATAGGTCATCACCAACGGATCCACAAAATTAGAGTTCAAACGGAGTCAGACATGCATATTTTGAAAAATTCATGGATTAATACATACAAAAATCGAGATAATTCTAAATTCTTGTTTCGTGATACATAAACTCCAAAAATGCGATGTTCACCTTTAAAACATAATGAGTATTATTTAATAGATTATTATCGATGAACCCACAAAATTTTAGCTCACGTAGAATCAGTCATACATATTTTAAAAATTAATCGACTAAAACTTTGAATTTGTTGGTTATTAATATATGATGTATCAAAATGTTATTTAATTTTGTAATCTTAAATATGTTATTATAAAATTAAGAGAAAACATGTCAAATTAGGAAATATCTAATATTTTCTCCTAAATTAAAGGAATAGGTAAAATTTAAACCTTATTTTAAAAGGATTGGGTTAAACACAAGTTGTACAACGAAGAAGGATAAAGAGAAGATTAATCAGTCTAAAATCAGGATTAGCTTAATCATCTATATAAACATGCACGCCCCTGCTTTACTCTGTTCCTAAATTCCTCCGTTTACTGAACAACAATAACATACTCCGTATAATTCCATAAAGTGGTAATTGTTGGGTTCTGAAGGGTGATTAGGGCGTCATGCGGAAGCTTGCAATTTGCAAATCATATGGTTGATAAATCAGATAACAAAAACTTATACTAAAAATCAAAATATTATTATATCAAAACTAATATAAAGAAAAACATTGAAACTTTAGAGAGAATAAATCTCCCCATAAACAAGACTCTTAAACGACTACATTGTGGATGTTATTGTGTTAGTGTAAGAAAACAAAAGATATATGCGGAACTTTTCTTATGTATTTTGATCGATGTTTTCAATTGTACAATGCCTTGTATATATACAGCAAAAGAAAGACTCCTAACAGTTTACCAACAGCAAGGAAAAAGACTCCTAACATGTAACTAATCCTAACGTTATATGTATTGTCCTATTTGTAGTTAACTTGTAGAAGTAGGTTAGTTTATAATACTTCAGCCCACTGTTGGCTGAGATCGTTAACCACCTGAGGCCCAAAAGACCAAATAACCGATAAGATATCTGGATCTGTATGTGCAGGCCCAGTACTCTTTGTACTTCTTGTCTATTCACATAATATTCACACCAACACCCTTCCTCAAGTTGGAGGAGATGAGAATACACCCAACTTGCCCAATAAGGTGTGATGCAGAGGTCCAGGCAATGATTTAGTGAACAAATCAGCTGGTTGGGATGAAGATCGAATGTGAGAAAGTGAAATGAGTCCTGCGAGGAACTGTTGGCGAACAAAATGACAATCAATTTCAACGTGTTTTGTACGTTCGTGGAAGACAGGATTTTTTGCTATATGAATTGCCGCCTGGCTATCAGAGTGTAGTGGAATGGGGAGTGAAATAGGGATGGAGATATCGTCAAAGAGGCGAACAAGCCAAGTGAGTTCGGCAACTACCCGTCTCATGGACCTATACTCTGCCTCAGCGGAGCTAAGAGAAATGGATGTCTGCTTCTTTGATTTCCAAGAAATAGGAGAAGTCCCTAAT